TTTGTTATTACAATACTGAAGCTTATGATATTACTACAAAGGCATCTAAATTACTGTAATAAGCTCTAAGTGGGAAAGATCTTGCTGTTTTGATCTAAATTTGTAGTCATTCCATGGCCTAAGCCAGAATTAAATTAGTGTTTGAACTTGTCATATGTATAAGATTCAATCCCTGAAGTATCTCATTCTTTTAGAGTGATATGAATATAATTAGACAAAGGTGAACAAGCATGTGAAACAAAGATGTAAACCTATTAAGTTGTGAGGTTAAAGTTGGGAACCTCTTGATTTTGTTTTAAGGAATAGGATTTCAGTACAGACAGTTATATTAGTGAAGAGTAGTATCTTATGAGCTATCTTGTGACACCCTAATAGGAAATCTGATTTTACTTAAGTTTGTAATTTAATCTGGAATTTGAACATGTGTAGAAATGTATGCAAACTACTTAAGAGTCACCTTAAAGATATTCCCATTGTTTAAAAGGGATTCTGAGAGCAGTAGTAGGTGTTTATGTCCATTTGAACACCATTACTAATGGAACCTGTTTTACTGTAAACAATATTTTATAAAATCTATTCTGTATATAATTTGAGATTATTATGTTTACAAGTCCCAAGTCTTTTGTTGCTTGTTATTAAACATCTTAAAGCAAAACCATTTGTGTAATAATCTTCTTAGCATGAGTACTGGTTAAATCAAGATGTGTTTTTTTTTGATGAATCTCTTACTGTTACCAATGTGAGATTATAGTCAATACTTGTCATCTAGAATATTTGATCCTTCAGAGCTGAATCCACCTGAAGCTCTGATTATTGGAACTTGCTATTTAAGACTTTAAAAAACTGTTCATTGATATTACTTTGAGTTTGACTCCAGGTATGTTCATCAAGGAATGGTATTAAGCCAATGATCCATGATGCCAGCAACCCTATTGGGTTTTACATTCATAAATTGCAGGTGGAGTTCTCATGGGAAAGGCTGGGAGAACTATTGGCATGGGCTGAGATAGGAGTCTCCTGACTCAATTTCTCCAACATGACATTTCTTGAATGGAAGAGTTTAACTGGCTGAGTTTAAGCCTGGCTCAATGCAATTAGCCATATGCACAACTTTTGCCTAGAATTTACATCAAAATGAGGGAACATTTTCCCTTATGTCCCTATTATTTATTTGTTTTTTTTCTGCAAATTTCTATAATGTCAGATAAGTATGAACATAATATCAAGTCTTTATCTTATTGGCTAATACTGGAGCACATCTGAGTCACTTTAATAAGATTCAGGTATACAATTTGAATTACTTGGCCTAGAATTTTAGTCCTTTCTGTGTTCCAAATAACTAAGTTTTTAATTATTTAGCTTTGACATCTGTTACTAGTTATATATTCCTGTGTAAGTTAGGGTCTTTTAATTTCTCACAATGGTATTGGGATAATTAGGCAAATGATGCAAAGACTTGTGAAACCAGGATATGATTCTGTTATTTAGTGAATAGAACTGTCTCAGTTCTGTGTTAAGGACACAAATATCAGTAGAAAGTTTTCCTAGAAAAAGAATGGCTTGTGGTCTATCTTGTAAATGCCTTAAAGAGACATCCACTTTTGTTAGGGGTTATTAATTTGAACATGGGTAGAAGTTGGAAATGTTTTATTATAAATAACTTACTTGATATGCACTGTTTTTAAATGGATTATTCAGTGTATTTATATATCCCATCCCAGAACCTTTTGTTACAATTGAAGTTCTTTGGCAACTTTTAAATGAATTTGCTTTTGTATTAGAGTCCATGTTATTATAAAAAGTATTCTGTTATTAATTCTTTAGTGGAATCTCATTCTTCTATTGGGGGAATGAATAATACTGAGTATAAAAACTGGGTTCTAATTTTCTGTTTGTATTTGAGTTTCCTATATATATCAGCATGACAATTAGCCAACCTAAAATTGTGAAATCCCTGGTCTAGAAGGTTCCAAAATTTGATTTTCTAGTAACAGACATAAGGTTTGAGCTAACTTTCATTATCTGACCTGGTAATTGGCAAAGTAAATTTAAATTTGTGTGAAGATCAACTTTGTAGGAAAATTTTAGTAGTGAAGGGCCAGAGAAGAACTGCTCTAAGACCACATTCAAACCATAGGACTGCATCAGATATTTCCAGAGGAACAGAAGGAAACACACCTATGTATTTTATTTTGCTTTTATTTTTTTCCTTTGTGCCTTTTATCTGTAAGGTCTGCTTATCAAAGGGGATTGGCCTCTTTAATTTTGTCAAAGTATATCATTGTCTCCCCTCTTAAGTTCCACAGTTAGAAACCATTGATGAAATATTTGTTGTGATTCATTAAGGAGGCCACTGTTCTCAAGAATCAAATGGGGGAATGTGAGAAATGATAATTAATAAACAATATCTTGGGGAAATTCAGATTACCCCCCACACACACACCTTCTCACAAAATCCTGACTTTTTCAGTTCTTAAGGACATTACTGATGAGATTGGACTCACTTTCTCATTTAAGGCTCCACCCTGGTGGAAGCTATTATGTTCTGCTTAGGTTTGGGTAGTGTATGCATTCTTTGAATTGAAAGCCTGAAGTTATGGGTGGTATGGTATAGAAATATTTTCCCTATCCTAGCCCTTCATTTTAATATAACCTATCTCCAATCATGTTGACCAATTAGATTTGATTATTGTTTGGTGGACCACCTATTGTTTTGAGGGGTATATGAGCTGTAAGCCCCCCCACCATGATTGTCTTTCGTATGAGAAAGACAGCCAAATGATTATCCTTTTGTTAACCTGCTGGCCTGATTAATAAAATGATTAAATTACCCAGAAACTATGTCTCTCAACCTTTTTAAATTATCACAACAGAGAAAAGAGCATCAAGGAGAAGTGGGTGATAAATAGTGCAGAAAGGTCAGTAAGAATGGGGATTGAAAAAAGGCCATTAGATGTGTCAATTAAGAATTAATTGGTAACTTTAGACAGCATTTTTAGTTGACTCATTAGACAGGAAGTTAGCCTGCAGAGAATTCAGAAAAGAAAAGGAAGTATAGGCCTTGATTGTAGATTGCTTTCTCAAGAACTGTACCCACAAAAAATAAGAGAGAGATGGGATGATAACAAGAATAGATGGATCAAGTGAGGATTTTTTGAGAGTAGAGGAGACATGGTTTTGTTTATAGGCGGTAGGAGATCATCTAGTATACAGAGCGAGATTGAAGATAAATGAGAAGACATGATGGATTAGGATTTCTTATGTATGTATGTATGTATGTATATAGGGGGGTTTGTCTTGATAAGAAGGGCCAGCTTTTTCTGTGAGACTGGGGTGGAAGAGATAGTGGGAGAAGGCATCTGAAGGATGGGAAATGAGGAGGGAAGAAAAGAAGCTGTGCTACTGGCCTCAGTTTTTTTCAGTGAAATTTAAGACATGATTCTCATCTGTGTGAGAAGAAGAGGGAAATATGGAGGTTTTCCAAGGGATGAAAAAATTTGGAAGATCTGCTGTGGTGAGTGGGATAGTGGCTAGATTAGAGAGATGTACAAGGATTGTCTTGCCACAGAGGGGTCAAATTTGATTTATGTCAAACACCTTTGACATGTATATGTGTCAAATCATTCTGATAGTGGAAGTTCTAAATACCAGGATGTTTTCTGGAATGAATCTATTTTCCACTGGTTTTAGGTAGAAACCCATTAGCAAAGTAGGCAGAAATCTAGGCCATTGATTGTTATTGTCCCCATGAATGTTAGGATTCCACACTCCCCAACATAAAATAAATAGTCTTAAAAAAATACACACTATTAAGAATCTTTTTTTTTAATTTAAAAATCTTTGGGAAAGGAATTTGCAGTGCTTATTTGCATATTAACCTAAAATCAACATACAAAGGATTTGTAGTCATATATTGCTATTTTCAGGCAAGTTCAAGAAGTAACATTAACGGTGCCACAATCGTATGAATTGTAAGTATGCTGTTGAGAAATGAACTTCAAAGTTATGTAGGAATTCACAGTTTTTAACCAAGCCAGTAGAGGGCACTTGTCCTCTGAAAATGTATCCTGTATAGACCTTAAACTCCTACTAGGTAGACATAGATATTACAATGGTAAGAATTCCAGCAGCAATATATATACTTTTGTCCCAAGACTTACAAACACATAATGCTTAATTAACATAATTAGCACATTGTTGGCTCTTTAAGGAGCATTATGTACACATCTGTCCATAAGTAGGAAGCTTAAGACTCAAAAAAATAGTCCAGGTCAGGTATGATCTGAATGATGTTTAGAAATCTGCCATGAGATAGAATGCCTTGGACCATGTTCATCTTTAACTTTTTTAAAATTAGAAGAAAATTTAAAAGATTTAACTTAGCTACTAACAGTATCAAGACTAAACTAGAATTTTAGCAGACCTCGTTATTTTTAAGAAGCAGGGTTTACAGAGCACTAAACCCTAGTACTCTTGTTTAGATAGGACAGTAATGGCTTAATTTCTAGAGAACTAAATTCAGTGCTTCCCCTTGAGGGTTTATTACTTTGATTATGTTCTAAGAATTGATCAATACAAATGATTTTTTAAAAAATAAATGCATAGAACTCATAAGATTTTTATTTTGTTACTATTTTGCTTTATACCACTAGTGAGCAATAATTTTTCCTCCTGTATTCCTTTATAGTTTCCTCTACTCTAAGATATCCCCACTTTTCCTATTAGCGTATTGGAGACAATCTCTCTTCCTGAGAAAAGAAAAGCATTCTGTGTGATTCTTATTCTTATAAGACAACGCAGTTTACTTTGCTCTAAATTTAGGTATTATTAGTCAAGATGAAATGTGGAAGAAATCCTTTAGCAGTCTTTTTTTTAAAGGCACTGCTGGTTTTTTTCTCTTGTACCTCAATGTTATTTTCCTAATCTTCCTGGGAAAATCTTTAATATCACAAACTAGAGGATGAAAATAAGAAACTCTTAAGGTACTTCTTTTGGTATGTCTCTTATTGTATTATGATCACTACTCTGATTATTTGTGTACATGTCTTACCTTTCTAAATTGGTTTTAAACTCATCAAGGACAAGGACTATCTTATTTATCTTTTCATCTCTTTCAGGACTTATCTACAGTGTTTTTGCACATAATAATAATTATATAAATATTGTTGAATTGGGAAAAGGAAGAGTTTGTTTCAAATCTCATAGCAACTAGACTAAATTATACTAATGTGGAGATCTTTCAGGCTTCTTCTTCACCTCTTCTGTCCTCCATCCTTGGGTATCAGAAGAAATTATGCTCTCTTTTGTTTCTTTCCTTTTTTACCCAACTTCCGGAAGCAAAACAAGCAGCTTTTGATGACTATGAAGACAACAGTTGTCACACAGGCAAGTAGGAAGCCAATCACATCCAAGGAATGGTACTGGTACCAGGTAAGGTCATGGGCAGCAGGTCTAAGGTGCTTAGCACCTTTGTGACGCATCACAAACTCTATCCAGAAGACAGCTCGGTCTAGGGGTTTCACAGGTTGGTCATGGTGAATTCTTGATAATCTCATAGCATTCTCTTTGTATCTGAAATAGGAACACATACACAAAGCAGAAGAAAGTCACTTTTTTTTTTCTCCTTAGAATATCTACAAAAAGGTCACCCAGCAGATAGTCCTATTTGGAGCTGGTTGAAGGAACTGAGCATCTTTCTAATCTGTCTGATTCCAGCCACATCCTTTATTAAAAAGAAGCAAAGGAGAGATGAACTATGAAACCATATGACTTACTGTCTAAAACAGAAAGAATTTATTCTTCTCTTCTCCTTCATCAAATATTGCAAAACAGAAAATAGGATTCATGGTGTTTATTGATGAGGTTTTTTTTTTTTCCTAGAGCATCTGTTTTATGGATCACATGTGAAAAATCATGGGCACAGAACTGCCCAATCTCCTTTTCTAATCATATGGGAACCATTATGAGGATTAAGAGGGCCAGACAACAGAGGAATAGCTTCAACCCTACACTACTATCCACAAAATGTCAAAAGACCTAATAGGATTCTTCCATTGGGTTGAGTAGATCCTTTGTGTATGATGTATATGGAAAGATATGAATAGTAGGCTGAGAAGTTGCCAGTGTTATGAGTTGGACTTGTGAAGGGATGATAAGGTCATGGCTTCAGTGAAGTACTGAAGCAGGTATTGCATTTAGAAACCTTTGTCCCAAAGGGTAGTTTTAAAAAATTTCTAAGGGACAGCTAGGTGGCACAGTGGATAGAGCTCCAGCCTTGGAGTCAGGAGGACCTGAATTCAAATACAGCCTAGGATATTTGACACTTACTAGCTGTGTGACCCTGGGCAAGTCACTTAACCCCAATTGCCTCACCAAAAAGCAAAAAAAAAATTTCTGACTCACAAATATTTTTATTAATTTAATTCACCAAACACTAAGTGAGTATTATGTGTAATGTTCTATAAACATCTTATAGAGAGATTCAGTAGCATGTTGTAGAGGAAAATAGGTGCCCAAATGTGATAGCTGCCTTTTAGATATCACATTACTTCATTGAAAATAAGCTCTTTTAAGCCAGGCATAGCAGGGCACACCTGTAGTCCCTGCTACTGGAGAGGCTCAGGCTGGTGGATCATTTGAGTTTGGGAATTTTGAACTACTAGAGGATTAAAGCTAATCAGGTATATGCATTAAGTATTAGAAGAAATTGTGCCCTCTTTTGTTTCTTCTCAGTTTTGCTTGACTTCTGGCAGCAAAACAGGCAGCATTTAGAGACTATGAACACAACAGTTGCTGCATAAGCAAGTAGGAAGCCAGTCACGTCCAAGGAGTAAGATGATGGGTGGCACATCTAAGGCGCTTACCACCTTTGTGATGCATCAAAAACTCGATGCAGAAGACAACTCAGTCTAGGGGTTTTAAGGGTTGGTAAGCATCAATATGGTAAGACCTTGGGAACAAGGGGTCACCAAACCATTTAAGAAGGGAAGAACTGGAAAAGGTGGAAATAGACTATGTCAAAGTTTTATGCTCATTAGCAATGGGGTTGATCCTTGGGTATTTTCACATTAGTCATGCTGCAAAGAATTAGAACGAAGGGGAAAAGCCATAAGAAAGAAACAAACCAAAAAAAAAAGAGAGAGAGAGAGAGAGAGAGAGAAAATAGTGTACTTCAAACTGTATTCAGACTGCACAGTTCTTTTCTCTGGATGTGGACAGCATTTTTTATCATGAGTCTTTTGTAATTGTCCTAGATCCTTGAACTGCTGAGAAGAGCCAAGTCCATCAAATTTGGTCATTACACAGTGTTGCTGTTGCTGTGTACAACACTCTCCTGGCTCTGCTCACCTCACTCAGCATCAGTTCATCTAAATCTTTCCATGTTTTTCTGAAGTCTGCCTGCTCATTACTTCTTATAGCACAATAGTATTCCATTACACTCATACACCATAACCTGTTCAGCCATTCCCCAATTGATGGGCATCCCCCAATCTCCAACTCTTTGTCACCACCAAAAGAGCTGCTAGAAATATTTTTGTACATGTGGGTCCCTTTCCCATTTTTATGATCTCGTTGGAATATAGCCCTAGAAGTGCTGTCGCTGGGACAAAGGGTATGCACAATCCCATAGCCCCTTGGGCATAGTTCCAAATTAGTGCTGTAACATTCATATGATAGCACTTACATAGCATATTTAAGGTTTGCAAAATAAATGATTTACATATTTTATCTCTTGGATCTGGTACTACCTATTTGGCCTTGGACAGTTTCCTCATCTATAAAATGAGAGTGTTTTACTGGAGAGAGAGTATGACAAAGAAGGGCTGGATTTAGAATTGTGCGATGTGGATTTGAATCACTATCTGTGTGATCTTAACCTCCCAAAGCTTTTATTGCTTTTACTTCTAAAATGAAGGGCTAGATGGCCTCTGATGTCCTTTCTAGTTCTAAAATCTATGGACCTCTGTATATGTAGCCTGGAGTGGTTGAGATCTGGGATCAGAGACTTTGGATGCCATTGTTGTACCTAAATTAGGTCATAGGCACTGTTGTCAGCTATTCTGAGGAGAAGTCATATATTAATAGATATTCTGAGTAGAGTTTTGTTCCAGGAACTCCATTTGTATGGGTGTTCCAGTAGCCTTAAGGAAGGTTCTTCCTTTCGAGTTGTAGAATATTAACTTGAAAGGACAGCTAAGGTAGTGTAATGGATAGATGCCAGGCCTGGATTAAGGAAGACTTATCTTCCTGAATTCAAATGTGGCCTCAAACCCTTACTAGCTGTGTGATCCTGGGCAGGGTTCCCCCCAAATCTTAGAGGCCATCTAATCCAGCCTCCTGAGAGAGGTGAAATGATTTGCCCCACCGTTAAAGAGGTTTGTACAATGGTTTCAGTCAAGTCTCACTCTTAGTGACCCCATTTTGGAGATTTCTTGGCAAAGATACTGAAGTGGTTTGCCATATCCTTCTCCAGCTCATTTTACAGATGAGGAAACTGAGACAAACAGGGTCACACAGCTAGTAAATGTCTGAGGTCAGATTTAAACTCATGAAGATAAGTCTTCCAGATTCCTGGCCTCAAATACTACCAGGATTCAAACTGGTCCTTTGACTTCAAATCTAATGTTTGTTTCACTATACCAGTTCCCGGTACTGGTAGGTAAGGTTATCATTGGTAAGAAAGCATTGAATTATGATACTCACGAAGGGTTGTTGATGACTGTCTTCAAAGCATTAAGCATGTCTGCAGTTGTCATGTCATGAAAGTTCACTTCAACAGCTGCCCCCTTAGCTTTCAGGTGAGCGATGTTATCAGGCTGATCAGCAAACATGGGCACACCTATCATGGGAACTCCGTGATAGATAGCTTCATAGATTCCATTGGTTCCACCATGAGTGATAAAAGCCTTGGTTTTGGGGTGACCTAGGATAGAAATGGAAGGAAAAGGGATCAGTAAATTATGATGGATTTAGAAACAGAAGAAGGAATGGACAGGATAAGTCATTGAATGAGGCAGTAATATTCATGTAACAAATTGGTATAAAAATGGGATCACTTGGAACTTTGACTGTTAGGAAAGCACATGAGGTAGTATCTAGATATGGATCTCTGGCTACAGTTATGAGTAGTAAGCAAAGGAACTGAAAGTGGACCACAAAAACATCTTACATTGCACCATTTAATTAATGTTTGAAGAATGTGTACAGAGAAAACCAGAAAAGAGAGGCTTCTTTTTCAGGAGAGCTTCCAAATAATTGTACTTCCTTTTCATGGATTTGCCTGATAGAATATTTCTGTAGAAACCCACTCCCCTCTATTTTTCTGATTACAACAAGAACACACAAAGTAAATTTCTCTCACTTTAATCAACTCAATTCTTAGTTGTCATCTGTAACCTAAGTAAGTAGCCAAGTTGAAACTTTATCAGATCTGTTTCCTCTCTTTTTGTTGTGAACCTCTCATAATTTATTGTCTCCCACCCCAATTTGAGATGATTGAGAATATTGAAAGAATCCACAGACTTAATCCTTATAGTAGTTTTTCTAGAAGGTATTGAACCTCCCATTACAGAGTTTCTTAATCTTTTTTGTGTCATGGATCCCTTTGGCAGTCTAGTTAAATCTATGGCCTCCTTATCAGAATAATGTTTTCAAAAGCACAAAATATCAGGAGGCAGCTAGGTGGCGCAGTAGATAGAGCTCCAGCCTTGGAGTTAGGAGGACCTGAGTTCAAATCCAGCCTCAGACACATAACACTCACTAGCTGTGTGATCCTGGGCAAGTCACTTAATCCCCCCCCAAAAAAAGCAAAATCATAAAATATCAGACAAAGGATTATGAAGGAAATCAGATATATTTAATTACAGTTATCAAATATTGAAAACAAGTTAAAAGTCCTTTAATTCTTTAGCAAAATGTCCTACCATTTTGACCTATCCATAGGATCACAGATCTAGAATTGGAAGGGATCTCAGAGCTCATGTAATCCAACTCTCTCTTATTTTACCACATGAAGAAGATGAGGTCCAAAAAATTTAAATGACTTAAGAAGGTCAAAATCTAGTTCATAGGAAGCCAGGATTTGAACCCAGATTCCTTAACCGCAAATCCAGCATGCTTTCCACTGGACCATGCTGCTTTTAGTGTAGTACAGCCTGAGATTAGCAACAGACCTACTGACGGTTTAGTAATTCAGAAAATTCTGGTAATTATCATCATCTAAGTTAGCTGCTTTCAGACAAGAATCTTTTGGGAACTCTTTTCCCCCTTAGATAGTTAGAGGAAGGAAACACCTGGGAAAAGCTAGCTGAGTTTCATAACTACTTGTATTTAATTTGCAGTCTTCTGTTAGCCTGATCAATTATTTCAGTTCTTTTAGAGTGCCTTGGGTTTTTTAGGTATCACTGATAACTTTAATCAAGAATGAATATATAACTTTTATTCATTCATTCAGGATTTTTTCATAATCCCTTAAGTCAATGCACTGTTCTTGAATTAGCCTACGTATAATATCAAAGACCTATGATTTCTTAGGTGTAAGAATTTCTTCCACCAAAGCAGATAACAACCATTTTTTTTTAATTGCTTAGTTATAGAGTTGCTTAAGGCCCATAGTGGTAAGTCACTAGTCCACAGACACAAAACTAGTAAGTGTCAGAGACCAAATTTGAACCTAAGTCTCCCTGATTCCGGATCTCTCCATTATGCATTACCTCTTCTCTCAAGGTGTTTTATTAATTGGAAATATTTCATAAAATAAACCACTTAATTTCTTGGCATGGAGAATTTTCATCAATGCTTCACTTAGGAAAATGTTCCAGTACTGACAATGTTTGTATAACAGATGGACAACTCTCCCTCTGTCCTTCCAGTGGAAGAGAACCAAGAAGATAAGATTTAATTTTGTATGTAAATTTTCAAAAATTTCGATATTCCTAGTCCATAGTCTCACCAAGAAGATCATTCTGGGGAATCCAGTCATAGGTTCTGGTATTTGGACCTAAGGTGGCCGGTGTCTTTCCTTTGTATCTCCATACAACCTTTCAAAATAAAAGGGAAAAAAATTGTAATGTGAGTAGAATCATAAAACTCTAAAATAAGAAGGACCTTTAATGAGAATCTAGTCCAACCCTCTCGTTTTATAATTGAAGAAAATGAGGCCTAAAGAAATGATGAGTACTTTTAAAGCATTAAATATCAACGCTACTTGTTATCTATTCTTTTAAAGAACTTTCACAGACATCCTATTAAGAAGGGTATTATTGTCATTCCCATTCTCATTTAATAGATGAGAAAACTGTAATAACAGATGGGATTGGGAACCAACATAGAATTTAAGGCATTTTCCTAGAGTCAATTGACAGAATTGTATTAGAATATACAGTGCAAATATTAAATTAATAGAAATGTATTCTGTGGGCCATCCTAGCTCTCAACTTTAAAATTCAGCATTGCTAAGGAAATGGATTTGCCTTAATGTTTGTTGAGAAAAGCTTACTTATATTCACTTTCTTCAGGAAATGTTTTGTTAACCATATCCAATTTAGCAAGCGTGTTATATATTTGCAAAACACTGTTTAGGTGCTGCTGAATGCAAAGAAAAAAAACAGTCTCTGGCCCCAAGGAGCGTACAGAAATTACTGGTGGATGCAATACATATCCAAATAAGTTAAAACAAGGAATTAGAGAGAGAAGAACACATTACTAGGGGATATCAGGGAAGGCTTCATAGAGAAGGTAGTCCCTGCACTGAACCTTGAAAGAAGAAGATAAGGACTCAAAAAGGCAATGATGAAAAGGCACCGGAGATGGCTTGTCACAGTTGTGAAGTGGCAAGACAGAATTCCAAGTTCAGGGAAAAGCTAGAAATTTAGTTGGCTGAAATTTGGCCTGTAGGAAGGTACAAAAGTAGGTTGGAGCTAAATCATGGATGGCTTTAAATGCCAGGCTGAGGAGTTGGTATTTTATCTTAGAGCTAACAGGGAGCCAGTGAAGAATTTTGAGCAGGAAAGTAACATGATCAGAAATGTGCTTTAGGAAGATTAGTAGCTATATGATTGGTATAGAAGATTGGTAGCTACATGGATGATGAAGTGAAGACAGTAAAGTGAAAATAAGAAAAAATATAGAGATACAATGTGGTACAATGGAAAGAAAGCTGAACTCGAGCTAAGCAAATACTAGCTCTGATACTAGTTATGCAACTGTGGGCAAGTTTGAGTCATTTTATTCTTCTATGAAACGGGAATAATATTTGCATTATCTACTGCAGTGGGAAACACTAGAATGAAATTCATTCCCTGTAGAACATTAAGATAATTTTATTCAAAATTACATTCCATCTGACAGCCAGTTTCAGGATTCTTTTTACAATGTCAGAAGGAATCACAAAGTTCTAGAATCTCAGATTTAGAAGGGACCTCAGTGGCCATTCTCTTCGATGCGTCTGACAATGGTCAGCCCACCTTTGCTTGAAGAGCTCGAGTTCTTCAACCTGCCACCCACCATTCCAATTTTGGATTGTTCTAATTGCTAGTAAAAAAAAATTTTTTTTCATATTTTAAGCATCCATTTGCCTTTTTGCATCTTAGTCCTGTCCTCTGGGATCAGACAGAATAAAGGTGATGGAATCCTAATAAAGCTGCCCCAACCCCAATATTCTAACTTCCTTAGAGGCCCCACTGAACAGTAGGCCCACTGCCCCTCCCCCCACCCCAACTTAATATCCTAACTTCTTTGTATATGCCTCACTGCTCACTAGAACAACAAATGTGTCCATGAACTTGTATTTCTCACAGAAACAGCAGGCATGTTCATATGATGGGATCTTAGCCACTGCCTCTAGCTAGCCACTGCCCCTAGATCCATTCCTCGTATTTCCCACAGACATAGCAAGTGTGTCCATGTGTCCACAACCACATCCATCTAGTCTCAGACAGAACTACAATACTCAGCCAATCAGAAAGCAGCACTACCAGGATTCCCAAGCAGGATGTGGACCCCAAAACAATAGAAAGGACTTTCCCTAAGTAGGCACCTGCACAATAATAGCAAAAGCTGTCCTTTAGGTAAATTTATGATGGAGAGAGGCTTATTATAATATCATTATCATACATACATGCCACCCCATGAGTTTTTCTGTATGCATTGTGGGCAATCACATGCACAGTTGCACTGAGTCTGGGACCCCTCCCCTATTACCTAATCCCTTAACAAACCCCTCCTGCCTTTTTAATATTCATCATTTCTCTTATGTAATTGCATCTTTACCCTATAAAAATCCATCTTGATTTCACTAAAATTACTGGCTCCTCTTGGAACTTAGCCTGCGTCAATCTCAATAAATGCCTATACTTGGATTAGAGGTGGTCTGACTTCGAATTCTTTGAGACAGTTCCACCACAATACGTTGTGAAACTGCAACAAAGGTATAGCTATGTCATGAGATTGTAGAATTTTAGATCTGGAAAGATTCTTAGTGATCATCTAGTCTAACCCTCTCATTTTGCAGATGAAGAAAATGATGCCCCAAATTCTTAAGATCAATCATGTATTAAGTGGCAGAGCCTCGATTCAAACCTAGGTAATTTGAGTCAGAATCCAGAGCTCTTTCCTATCATACTGCCTCCTTCCTACTATTTCTGTCTACTATATTGCCTCCAGGGATTGAGCTTGAAAAGAGGGAATTGAGAAGAACCAGGTAGAAAGTAGTTGACTTTGTAGAAAGTAGTCTATTCAGCAATTCCCCAGTGAGTCAAATTCTATTACAATGGAAATCTAAAAGGTCAAAAATTCCCAATGGCCAATATGAAGTCATATTAGAAAAGTAAGCTGGACCCAAATTGTGGACAACTTTAAATGCTGAGCCTGAATCTGAAGAGGCTGTATTTTATCTTAGAGGCAATAGCGAGCTAGTGAAGTATTTTGAGCAGGGGAAATTTTATGACAACAAAAATACTGGGATAGCTCCTTTCATCATAAAATTTATGCTCACCTGCCTTTTTCATTGCCCCAAATAGTCATAGATCCCTGGAATGTTAGAACTGGAGGGCACCTCACTTTACAGATGAGGATACTGAGTCAACAGTTTCATTCTGTTGATAAGGTTTCTTTTTAAAACTATGACCAATTTACTTTCTCAAATTCATGTTTCTATTTGAAAGTCTATGAAGCTTGCATAAATAAATAGGTAGATAGAGATAGAGATAGATATATGATGTTGAGTTGATAATGTTAATTAGTTTTGCTGAGCTGCTTTTTCTTTTTGAATCATTGTTGCAAGGGACAGATCACTGAGAAGGGGAGAAGGGACATATTTGGGAATAAAAAGATGTAAAATCAAAGGACATCAACAAAAGTAATATTTATGAAAAGAACACATGGGCCATTTTGATTAGGGTGGGATAACATTCAGCACCAAATGATTTCCTATTCCATTGATGTCTTAGCTAAATTAAACTAGCTAAAACACTAATAGATGTGATGATGATTGATTCTAGCACCTTGCATTTGTAGAGATTTTTTTTTACATTGCCTACATTTCCCCCATAATCTTTTCCCTTTGCCTCCCACAAAGCCATTTCTTATAACAAATAATGTTTTTAAGAGGAAAGAAGAGGGGGAAAATCAACAAAACCAATTAACAAATTGAAAAAAATCTGATGTTATATGCACTGCTCCCTGGGCTAAGTGACTTACCCAGGGTCACATAGCTAATAAGTGTCTGAGGTTCTGACTGCAGGCACAGTGCTCTAGCCGCTGTGCCTCCCAGTTGCCTAGGGTCAAACAGCATGCATCAGAATAAAGACTTGAACCCAGGTTATACTGAGTCCAAGTCTTGGGAGTCATTCCAAGTGGCTCTCTAGTTACCCTGCCTCTGTTTATAGAGCTTTAAGTATGTTTTCACATACACTAGGATCTGTAATTATATATAATGAATTTTAATATGTTAGAGTACAAAAGCTAGTAGAAATGATTCTTAAGAAATAAAGATAACTAAACCTTTACATTTCAGTTTCACTCCATATAGTCCTTTAATTGTAAAACTCACTCAGTTCTAACAAGCTAAATGCTTATTGCTAGTGAAGGAGAGATAACCACTACTCACTGAGGAAAAAAAACAACAACAAATCAAACCCCAAACCAACCACAGCCCCAAATCCACAAAGCCATCACACTATTCAAAGGAAAATAGTGTAATAAGCACTTTTTCCAGTGAAACAATGTTACTGGTGTAATGAAGCTAAGTATTTTCTTGCTTGCTGGAAGGCAAGTAGAAGGCAGGAAAGTAGACAAATGCTCATCAGCATCGCTCAGGCATTTAAGTCTTTCCCTAAGTTGATTTGCATGCAAATGAGGGTCATTATGAGTGCTAAGAGGAAGTTCTATAGCTTCATAGTTTCTTTGCAGTTTTGCTAGGTAGAGTCCCCAGAATGATTTTGAATGATTGATTAAGGATACGACAGGAATTTGAAGGGATTTTCTGACCTTAACGCTAATGATACTTAAACTGGGGAAGCACCTCATCAGCCTCCTTGCTCTCTGAGCCCCCTTCCTACTCTACCTGCCATCTCCCTTTATCTTCTTTCCTGCCACTCAAACCTCCCCATTCACCTGTATTTCTTCATACTCCTCATGCATAATCTTGATTTCCTCTTCCCTGTTACCCCATCCTAGAGTATTGGGATCAGAATCAAAGGACCTGGGTTCAAATGCTGACTCAGTGACTTATATCCTATGTAACATTGGGCTAGTCATGTCCTCTGTCTCATTTTTTTGTTTCTTCATTGGTGAAATGAGGGGGTTGGACTAAATAAGGCCTCTTCCTAAGGTCCCTTCCAGCTCTGTCTATGATCTATGATTTTTTCTTTGTTCTCCCTGCACCCTCAGTCTTTGCCTTGCTTCTCTAGTTTCCTCCCTCCCCTGTCCAGCCTCTTCCTTCATCTTCTGGCCTCCTCCGATCTCTCTCTGCTCATCTGGCCTCCTCAGTACTTTCTTGTTCTCCTCCAGGACTCTCTGATCTGCTTCTCTTTCTTCTGTCCTCATTTCAATGTTCTTCCTTCTTCTTCATGTTCCCCTACTCTTTCTCTGCTCCTCATGCCTGCTCTGTTGTTCCACACTCCATTTATGTTCCCTGCCACCCCCACTGCTCTTTCCAGTGGGAGTCACCAACCTTGAGATTTCTTCTCCATCTTTATAGGCTTGAACTTCCCTGTGCCCTTATACCCACTAGTGGCCATGATCAATTTCTGGATTCTCTATTCACCCTTAGCATCAGGGGACACCAATCTGCTAGTTATGTGACCCTGAGTTCCCAGTTCTCCCTAATCTCAGTGCCTTCCTTCTGAGATCATCCACAATTTTATTTATTTACATAGCAGCTAGGTGGCACAGTGGATAGAGCGCTGGGCTTGAAATCAGGAAAATTCATCTTCATGAATTCAAATTTGGCCTCATACACTTACTAATTGTGTGACCCTGGACAAGTCACCTAACCCTGTTTGCCTTAACTCCTTATCTGTGAAATGAGCTGGACAAGGGAACGGCAAACTGCTCCAGTGTCTTTGCCAAGAAAACCCCAAAATGGAGTCACAAAGAGTCAGATGCGACTGAAAAAATTTATTTGTGTGTGTATGTATGTGTGTATGTATGTATATATCATGTTTGTGTGCATGTGTGATCTGGTTTGTACATAGCTATTTGAATGTTGTATTTCCCAATAGACTGTGAGTTCCTTGAGCAGGATCTGGGTTGTTTTTTGGTTTTGTTTTTGTTTTTGCATTTCTTTGTGTCCTTAGCAGAGTGCTTGGTCATTTAGACACTGGGACAACTTTATTTTATTATAACAAAATTATTACAACAAAATAACTGTTGACTGACTGAGGGGAGGAAGGAACAGAGAAGAGTAAGTTTTAAAGACAGACTCAAAATCCCCTTAGGACTTTCCCTAGCAAACTAGCTGGCTGAGTGTCACTCACTAAAGTCTGAATTTAAAAACAATAACCTAATACTATGAGTTTTTCAGAGCTGACAACCTAGCCCCTATAATCTAGTCATAATACCAACAAAGAGAAGGTGATGGTAGGAAAGAGTATGTGAGGTTCTGTGCATTCAGAAGAAAGAGCCACAGAGATACTGTCTAGTTCACAGCATAGTAGATCTAGAGCTAACTAGCTCATTGTGCAGATGAGGTATCTGTGGCCCAGGGTGCGGTTAAATGACTTTCCTAAGTCACAGTGTTAGCCAGGGGTAAGGAACCTGCAGCCTTAAGACCACAGTCATTCTGTAAAATTTGGATTCAGTCAAAAGGCCACACTTAAGGACTGCTGTAAGGAAATGACAGAGCAAGGATTTGAACTCACATCTGAGTACTCAAGATTCAGTGATCTTTCCACCATGATCGCACTACAATGGACAATGTACAACATAGAGACAAGACCTAAGAGAACAGTATAGTGATACCTAGCAGAGAACAGAATGATAGAGAGACCAGGGCAGCAAAGAACCCCCAACTCAATGGAGAAAGAAACTTATCCAGTGACATCCTCAGGTGACATCATGGGCTCTGCTGAGTTGTAGCTATGAGTTGCCTGAGCTCTTGATGTGATCTGGATACACGACTTCTAACCCTTCATGCAGGATAAAGATGCAGCAGAGAAAGAGTACTAGCTCTGTATGCAGAGAATCTGGCTTCTGATCCCAGCTCTGCAGCCTGCTACTTGTTTGATCTTGGACAAGATATGTAACTTCTCCAAGTCTCAGTCACCATGTGTATAAAATAAAGATGTTGAACCAGATAACTTCAAAGGTTCCCTCTAACTCAAAAGCTATGTATCCTTTCACTTGTGCCTTATATAGGTGCTCTCCTTACACGTTCCCTAGGTATATGCCCCCAATATGTCTGCTTTGCCATACATATTTCCCTGGTCATTTTAGGTTCCTTTCCTGGGTCCTATTCACCAGTAGTGATATGGCAATCTGTGGGAAAGTATACTTCTCTGTAGAGGAGAAAACATTCTTGTCACTTATCTTTCTATGCTAGTTAACCATTTTATTTACTTTGAACTATAATGATCTTGGGTTAGTTGGCAAAAAGGAACACATAGGCCGAGGCTCATAGACCATAGTTTTCAGCAAATACTGACTCACTGTGACCTAGGCAAGCCTCCTAACCTCTCTCTGGCATATTATGTGTTCAGTAGGACCCATATGGGGTGGAGGTCTCTGGCACGACATTGAATATGAGAGAATGATATGTGAAAATTCTTGGAATGTTACAAAGTCATGCAAAAGTTAAGTAAATGTATCATTGTTTTTAGTAAAAGGAAACAGTTTCTAAGAACCCTATTAGAAGGAAATGTTTGGCACAAATCTAAGGTAATATCACAACCTCTTAGATTTATGCCAGCGAATGTGAAGTAACAAGAAGAAAACCCCTGAAATGTAAGGAGTAGATTATTTATGGAAATGAGAAGAGATGGACAGAAATCCCACAGATGAGAAATCCTGCGATGGCCGTGATCTGCATCAGTGGATATAGCAGTCACACTTATGAGATCACAAATCCATCAAAATTAAAGTGCTAGTACCTATCAATCAACGAGCATTAATTGAGCGTTATCTACTATATGACAGATACTGTGTTACATATACAAATGAAAAGAATGAAACCATCCTTATGCCTAAGAAACTTGCATTTTATTGGGGTGCAGGGGACAACAAGATCATAAATACATACAGAATTAATATAAAGAGAAAAAATGCAAATTAAAAAAAAGTTAGTTAGGGACAGAGGGCAATGGGGGATAATGCAGAAAGTAGTATTTGTTTGAATTGTGTCTGGAAGGAAGAGAAGGGACTCAGTGAGGAGGAAGTGAGGAAGCAGAGCATTCTAGGTTTGAAGGACAGCCAATGCAGAGGAACAGAAATAGGAGATGGAGTCTTGCATGTTAACACCAGAGAAAAGATGAATTTGTCTGGATTGTAGTGTGTGGGATAGAAGTAGATTGTGAAGGGCTTTAAAAGCTAAATAAATTTATATTTCATTCTAGACATGATAGGGAGCCAATGGAGTTTAATGATGAAAGGAATTATATGGCCAGATCTATGGTTAAGAAAAATCACTTTTTAAAAAATTTTTATATTTAATTTAATTTTTTGGAAAATCACTTTTGACAGCTTACATGAGTAAGAAAGACTGGATAGAGGAGAGATGTGAGGGAGGGAGACTAATTAGGACACTACAGTAGTACTCTAAGAGAGAGGTGATAGGGCCTCAAATAAGATGGTGGTCATATGAATAGAGAAGTATGGGAGGTTTGAGGAAAGAAAAAAAGGTTTGTGATGCTTTTTGTGGGCAATGAGACTTAGGAATTAATTAGCAAGGAATTAGGAGAGTTGACTTGCTATAGTAGAAACCCATCTGAATTAGGATAGCATGAATTTATCATGTCCCCATTCACAATGGTTGTGATTTCCCCCAGTGCTATTTAGTATCACATGAGTAGAAGCAGAGGAAAAAGATAATGAGACTAATAGAGGGCTGATATTTGACAAGAAATGAGTGGTGATAAGATAAAAGGAAAAGATAGGTATTCAAGAGTAGTTGACAATGAAATGTTGAATTGAATTGACAAATCCTGGGAAGGAAATTATCCCTCAGGGACTTACTTACCTTTACTGTTTTGTGAATATTGAGGGAAGGAGAGATATTTCAAGTCTAAAAACTCTGAAACCTACATTTTGAATGATTCAAAAAGCTGTTCTATATTATACTGTTCTAAGACTGAATTGTGGAGATGACAATATTACAAGATTAGAGTACATTAACTAATATGCAAATTACCTGACCACAACAATGAGAAGAAATTCTCAGAAGCCCCTGTTTAGAAAAGCCTGACACCTATCTGAGCCTAGTTACACCTTGATCCTGAGATACGTGGGGATAAGGTACAAGTGGGCCCTACAGATTTGGACTGTTTTTCCATGATCAGGTCCTACTTTTACCTTCTGCTTTGTCAACACCAGTTTGTTTCCAGGTTCTGTGAGCTAAAAATAGTCCAGGATCCTTGAAGAAAATGTAGCTCAGGCACGAAGGTGATACATACTCTAAATCAGCTACTGGGGTTCAGTTTCTATTTTTTAAACCATTAATAATCCTTTGCAACAGCAGAACAAAAGCTAAATTTGATAAATAATCTAATGCCTCACCCTGTTTTCCTAAGGTTTAATACTTAAGAAAATATTTGAGAACTTAGTCTACTAGAGGTAAGCTCTATTATAAGATTCCACCTGATTTTTTAGAAAATCTTGCTAAGTAGACCCTCTTTCTAAATTTCAAACAGACCAAGGCAGCAGAAGAGGTTTGTCTCTTTTTTCTCACCTTCTGTGGAATCTGGGCAAGAGCTGAAGCAATCAGGTTACTCTTTTCCTCAGTTAGGTTTTTGACCATTGACCCAAGAGAAAATACCACAATACCATGTTCCCCAGAGCTCTGGACAAATTTTTCCATTTCCTGCAAAGGAGACATTTATCATCTATCAGATGGAGAATGACAGCATAAAAAATAAATAAATCAATCAATTCAACCCAATCAAGCTGACAAACATTTATACAGTAACAACTCTGTATTAAGCATACTCTGCATGTTTACCTCTCAAGGCCTCTTCTGATGCCTTATGGATATATTCTGGGTTCTTAGACTACACTATCTTGCTGAAAAGGCTTCAGATAAGGGCCTTATGAGGCCATTCAAACACTTGTCTAGCTATGTTTGAAGAGGGTCATTATCAGGGTTGGCTACCTTCGATTGGCAATTATTGATGACTACAGCAATTCAATCAAAGACTACCTACTTAAGTGTAGAGAAGCTGTTTGCAAAAAGGAGCATCTATAGCTTTTTTGAACTATTGACAAACTACATGAGAAGCACTGTGTGAGGTTCTAGGGATGTAAAGCATGGAAATTCAGAGTTGGAAGGGACTTTTGAGGTTATCTAGTTCAATACGGATCTGAACAGGAATCCTATTAGATAAGTCAAGTGGTTATCCAGTTTCCTTTCTCTAAGATGGAAGCTGGGTGGCACAGTGGACCTGGAGTCAGGAAGTCCTGAATTCAAATCCAGCTTCAGACGCTTCTTAGCTGTGTGACCCCTGGGCAAGCCACTTAACTTCTGCTGTGCTTCAGTTTCTTAATCTGTAAAATGGGGATAATAATAGCATCTACTTCCCAGTTTGTTGTGAGGATAAAATTAGATAGTATTTGTAAAGTACTATATAAATGCAAGCTATTATTATTATTAAAAGTCAGTGGCCCCTGCTCTCAAGGAACCCACTGGGAAGATAAGATAGATCTCAAAACTCAGATACAAAGTTAAGTATATAAGTACAAAGGAGAGTTATAAACAAAGAGCTATCAGAATTCTAAGAAGGGAGAATTATTTCTGGTTAGAGGTAATAGGAAGTACTTCATGGAGAGGTAAAATTTGAACTGGATATTGAAACTAACATATGTACACACAGCACACCCACATAATGACTGATTGACGACTAAAACTGTGACCTTTAAAGAACAATCACAATAGAATTAAAAACAAGATGGGACCATAGAACAGGGGTTTTAACCTAGGGTCTATGAACTTGTATTTTAAAGTATATTTTGATAACTCTATATATACAGAGAAAGAGATAGACTAGTTCTCCCTATCTTGCTCAGGCTAAAAGTACAATGGTCGCTAATAGGCCAGTCACACTACTGATGGACAAGGGAGCATTGACATTCTCCATTTCTAACCTGGACCAATTTGCCCTTCCTTAGGCAAATAGGTACTTAATAAATGCTTGTTATCTCTCTTCCTTCTTGCCTTCATGCACAGAAAATGGGACATCTTTGTAGGAGATGAAAACCTAGAAAACCACGTGATAGGTTTACCTCAGGAAGAGGCTTGGCAGGCTTACAGTGGAGTCCTCCAACAAACTCAAAATTTGGCAAGTATGGACGAGGAAATTCAAAATCCCAGTATGTTCGAATCAGCCACATCTCAGCTTTTCCCATAGTTTCACATAATGTAGTGGGTCTCCCTAAGGGAAAAAGAAAAAAAAAAGGAGTTAGCTATGTCATGGATAGCTCAAATATCTAGGCCAAGGATTCTTAGCCTTGTATGTGTTATGAACCCCTTTGGCAGTCTGGTGAAATACAGTATGGATCCCTTCTCAGAAAAATGTTTTTAAATGCATAAAATAAAATACATAGGATAATAAAGGAAACCAATCATTGAAAAAATTGTTATCAAAATTGGTTTAAGAATCCCTACTCTGAGGTTAATAAAGGGTCTTGAGTTTCTAGGAAGGTCTCTGAACTCCTAGGGACTTGTGGTGCTCACAAGAAGCCACTCTCATCCTTCTTAATGCTAACATCTCCCTCTGAGATTATGTCCAGTCAATACTGTATATATACAATTGTTTGCTTGTCGTGTCTTCACCATTAAACTGTGAACTCCTTGAATACTGGGAGTGTTTTTGCCTTTCGTTGTATCCCTGGACCTTAGCACAGTGCCTGGCATATAGTAGACTGTCAATAAATGCTTACTGACTTCACGTAGGGGGAAAAAAAATGCAAAGTACTCATCCAAACAATTTTTGTCAGGAGTGATATGCATCATCACTTTTGTTAATTAAGATCATGGAAATCAAGTATATTGCATAAAAGGTAAGAAAAATGAGGCAATATGTACAGTCACTGTAGAAATAAATGAACCTTAAACTACTGGGGTCATGTCAAATCACAGATAATTCTCAAAATTTTTAATTGTCCCTGCCTTAGCTTTCCTAATTCATCTCCAAATGATTTTTTAACCCTCTATTTCAGGAGGTTCTGTCCCTCTAATATATTCCCCTCTCCCCTCATCGTTCTAAATCTTTGAGTTTTCATTCATGCTATTCTTGCCACCTGTGAATAATAGAAAGGGGAGGAAAGGAATTCTCCACAGTATTTTTCAAAATGATTGTTTCCAGCTGAGGTATTGGCTCATGAGTGGCCAGTGTACCTTCAGCTTAGGCTACACACATTAAAAAAACCCAATGTCAAAATTAAAAAAAACAACAACCCCCCCCCCCAATGGATTTAGGTCTAATTTCTATGAACCTATTTTTCTGCTTTAAAGATTCAAACTTTAGTTCGCAGTATCAGTTACAGGGAGTTACCTATGTTTCATGTTAACTAAGTCGTATTGTTACAGACAAATTCCATTTCTTATCAGCAATAAGTAAACAAAGGATCCTCATAACTTTAAAGACCAACCTATTTACTTTCAGGTATATAAAAAATTGTAGAGTGGCTGTATACTCCTGGCAGGTGAATCATTAAGGAACTCAGGGCTTACCTAACACATCACTGTAAAACTGATCCCAATATTTCACATCAAAATTCTGAAACCACAAGTCAAAATAAAGAAAAAAACCATATTTTTCACCCTCTCCATGAGTGTCATCTTGTCAGTCAATTCTGTCAAGACCATAGGCACATAGGAAGGAGCGGAAGGGAGGCCTCCACAGTGTTTTTCATATGTATTGCCAGCAGTGAACTGAAGAGTATAGACAGTAGGTTTTCCAAGGACCTCTGCTATGAGCTCATCACAAGGACCAAAGGCATCTGAACCAACATCATATCTGGCTTCCTTCAATGTCTTCATAAGCTTCTTGTTCAAAACAACACTTTCACAAAGGTGTTTGAGAAACGCTGAATATTCAAAAAATATAGCTTGCATCTTTGTTGCATAATCACAAGGTGAAAGTCTTGACAGCTCATACGTCCATTCCTTATTCCATTTTTCAGAATAAGTAACAATATCTTCTTTAGTGAATGACACAGGATTAAACCTCAAAGTTGAGAACAAATGCTTTGGTAGGATCAATAACAATGGAAGCTGTAGATGTCAGTACAGTAACCTCATGGCCCCTCTGTGCCAGCTTATCCAGGATGGTCTTTATATTCATCCAGTGACTATAATCTGTAGGCCACACCAGGATCTTCCACAGAAACCACAGCTAAAGCAACATACCTGCAGCAGCAAAAGAGTTGAAGCCCACTTCTCAGATCTCATGGTTGTGCCTTTTCGGAAAGATTAGCTCCTTCCTATCATGTGCTATGCATTATATTGTGAAAGGAAGTCATAAAGAAGTTAAAATGTAATTGAGATCCATCAAGTCCTCATCCAAAAAGAATATCTTTAGTCATAGCTGCTGGTGGAAAAAGGGAAACTAATTGGATAAGCATTAACTACATGGCATTGACTTTAGAGTCAAAGGACATTTAGCTAAGTTCACAAAAGTCTTCATTCCAAACAAAGTTGAACATTCACCTTCTTTATTGACACTCAATCAAGAGGATTCTTCAGGGACTGAGGCATAGGTTTAATTACTCAAGTTTTAGAAGATGACTACCTTTTTTTTTCCCTACAGGAACAGATATAGTGAAAGGATATGTATAGTGAAGGTGCCTTGATTCTCTTTGTCCTTAAATGTCCAGGTGGAATAAGTGACTAGCATTGGCTCCTTGGTATGCCAGAGGAAAATTGCTGATGAATTTTTAAAACATCCTTCATTAGTTGTTATTGAGTTAAAGAAGGTTGGGGCCAGTGAAGGCCAATTTCTGATCCTTTTTGGGGAGCTCTTATTGGAAACTCTTTCTGTATTGCTTCAAACTTTATAACCTTTAAGACCTGGGCCTTGATTATCATGGGCTCCAGTTCATGGACTGTGACCTGCTATACAATATTTGGAAATAGCCTCTTCCAAACATCCCAAGTGACCTCATTAAGAATAATCTCCTGTACTGGTAGTACTTCATATTCAGCCAGAAATGTTTGCAACTTAGCTTTGTCTTATTGAACTTTCAGACAATTTCCCGTGATTCCAAAGAGTATCTGGCCTCACACATAAGGTGGTCTCTGTAGTTATTCTTCACATGGCTTGAAATATTCATACTAGCTCACATTTCTTGTTCCACTGGGTCTACTCACCCCCTTCCCTGGAGCTAATACATTGGTTGCATCCCTGAAAAGTTGGAGTCATATTTTGTAGGTAATTCAGAATGACAGGGAATCTGAAAAAGACATTTTACTAATGCATGCACACATGGAATGGCCTTAAGTAGTTGGTGGAACCATTCTATACTTTCTGTTTGTGAATTGTAGATGGAAGTATGGCAACACTAGAATTTGAAGATCCACAATAAATGCTTAATGGGTGAGATAAAACAAATTTTACCTTTGAGAACAACGTTCTAGGTTGTCAGCTAACATGCCCTGAATCTAAGGCTATGAAATTCTGACTCTATACTTCTTCCACCAAGAAGTAGTTTCCTTTTTCCTCTTTGATGGTGATTCTTGCTCCAAAATCCTGATCTAATCCTTCAGATGAGATCTTCACCTGGGATGTGCAGGAGCTCTTCGTTCAAGGTTTCTCCTTGAGGGGTCTCTGGGAAGGAGCGCCTTCAATTTGGTTTTTACTGTGCACTACTACCTGGAAGTGTTCTCCTTTTAGTAAACAATCCCGGAGAACTTTGTAATTCTGACATTAGTTTTGCCAGCATTGCTTTGTTTTTCTTTATATTTAGTGCCTTCTTTTCCAAAAAAGAACTGGAGCCTTTCTCATTTTCTGAGACACAATCAGAATTGGAAGTGGGAACATCTTGGGCTCTGGGCTTGGCCACTTTCTGCTTCCGTGCTTTTTTGAGTTCTTGGTTGGAAATTTTAGAGCTACTTGCAAAGAACTCAAATGGTTTATTTGACTACAAGTCCCACTGCCTTCACATCAGAATCTAATTTCATTCTGTCTTGTATTTCACTTTTTGAGAAGCCCTAGAATGATTATCATCAGAGTTGGCATAAAAAACAGTGGCCACTTCCTTAATGATATCTGGCCTGAGTCTGGGTTTGTGTAAAATTCCCCGATCCCCTCTCAGGCCTTGTACCTCACTTTGTGGATGCCTGCAGGAAGATTCCTTATCAGAGTTCTCATAAAAAATATTTTCTGGGAGCCAACATGGCGTAGTGAAAGCAGCAACTTGCTTGAGCTCTCCCTCGAACCCCTCCAACACCTATGAAAAAGGGCTCTAAACCAATTCTAAAGCAGTAGAACCCACAGAAAGACAGAGTGAAATAAATTTCTAGCCCAAGACAACCTGGATGGTTGATCGGGAAAGTATATTGCGCAAAGCTGAGGGAGGAGCACAGTTCGGCATGGGTGCGCAGACCACAGCCAACCTGGAGCAGGCCTCAGAGGACTGAATTGCTGGCAGCTGTGGTGTTTTCCAGACTTCTCAACCCAGAAACACCAAAGACAACCTAGAAGGTCAGTGGGAAAAGTCTGTTTCTGTGATGAGAGAGAAGCCAGGCTCCCAGCGCCATTCCCCATGGTTGGCCCTGGGGAGCTGGCTGCCTCCTGAGCTTCTGGCCCACAGACTGAGGGTGAATTGGGTGGCTGATCAGAGGGGAATTGCAGGGATCTCTTTGCCAGTGCTGAGGTAGGAATCTCTTGCTTTGCCCATTCTTGGATCTGGGTCACAGTTCTGGGTGGCGGTCCTAAGGTGAGGAGGAGCGCTGGCCTGGTGGAGCTTGTAGTGGCAGTAAAGATAAAACCCTCCTCACAGTTCCTAGACAGAAAAGAGTGCTTGTGTTCACTCATAGACCAGAGCACAGGCCAGGAAAGGAGTAAACACCTCGCCCTTATCATACCACCTTGGAAGAACTGAAAATGTACAGGTCCCTAGAAGTATCTCTGAAAACAGTTGTACAAACCCCTGAACCTTGGGACAGTATATTCTCCACATTGGAAACAGACCTCTACCTTACTAAAGTGTGTATAAATCAAGTGATTGGCTGGGATCATGAGCAAACCTCAAAAGAAGTGTCAGACCATAGAATCTTTTTTTGGTAACAAAGAAGATCAAAACATACAACCAGAAGAAGACAACAAAGTTAAAGCTCCTACAATGAAAGCCTTCAAGAAAAATGTGAATCAGTCCCAGGCCTGGGGAGAGCTCGAAAAGGCGTTTGAGAAGCAAGTAAGAGAAGCAGAGG